TTAACTTATCAGTTTCTGCGTCCCCACCTCCTGCTCGCCGTATGGTTAGTTCTTGTTTTCTTAATGAGAGCACAGCTAGAAATTTTTCTGATGCTTTTGATCCACCCTGTTCTTCTGATAACGACCCAGATTTCTTAACTTCTCAGTTTAATGAGCACCGCCTCTCCATTCTGGACAACATCTGTCCTGTCAGAACCAGATCAGTTCCTGCAGTGAACCCTACTCCCTGGTTTAATGACAGCCTTCGCAGCCTGAAGCACCAATGCAGAAAAACTGAGCGCTTGTGGAAGAAAACCCATCTCCACGTCCATCTGCTGCACCTAAAGGATCTTCTGACATCCTTTAGCTCTGCAGTCAGAGATGAGGGTTTCCTATTTTTCCAACCTGGTGTCCCAGAGCAAAGGGAGTCCCAAGGTGCTGTTTACCACCATCAGCAGCATCGTCTCTCCTGCCTCTCCTACAGCCTCCATCCACTCTGTTGCAGACTGTGAGAACTTTCTGTCTTTCTTTGTGGACAAAGTCAATAAGGTTAGATCTAGCATCTCTCCTTCAGCCTTATCGCTGCCTCTCCCGACTTCAACCAGGCCCATCATCCTAGATAGCTTTACTCCTGTTTCTTTGCCCGAGTTAACCAAACTAGTTAACTCTATGAAGACCTCTGGATGCCCCCTCGACATCTTACCCTCATCTTTGTTTAAAAGTGCTTTTTAGTCCATCGGTCCCAGCGTGCTCTCTATAATTAATGCTTCTCTGGTTTCTGGTCAGGTCCCTGTTTACTTTAAGAACGCTGTAATCCACCCGCTTCTTAAAAAACCAAGTCTTGACACCTCTCTTCATAGCAGCTTCAGACCCATCTCTAAACTTCCATTCATCTCCAAGATCTTGGAAAAGGTTGTGGCTAAACAACTCACAGCTGCTCTTAATGAACAAAACATCTATGATAGCTTCCAGTCAGGTTTTCGTAGAGCTCATTCTACTGAAACAGCTCTTCTTAGGGTCTCTAATGACCTTCTGACCCACAGTGATGCAGGGGACTGTTCTGTTCTGGTCCTGCTGGACCTGACTGCAGCCTTTGACACTGTTGACCATCACCTGCTACTGGAGAGGCTGAGAGACTGGGTAGGCCTATCCGGAACTGCTCTGGAGTGGTTCTCCTTGTATCTTTCTGAGCGTTCCTTTTCTGTGGCCATCTCAAAGTTTAGGTCCTCCACCACCTCTCTTACCCATGGTGTCCCACAAGGTTATGTGCCGGGGCCTCTGCTCTTCCTCCTCCATCTGCTTCCTCTTCATCACATCCTGAGCTCCTTCAAATGAATCTCCTACCATCTTTATGCAGATGACATCCAACTGTACAGCTCCTTTAAGCACCATGAGATGTCTAAGCTGCAACTGTTACAAACCTGCTTAGACTATCAAAACTTGGATGGCTGGGAGCTTTCTACAGCTGAATGAAGGTAAGACTGAGATCCTCATCTGTGCCCCAGACAAGCTGGTTCCCAAAGTCAGAGACTCTTGGTTAGCTTGCTTCTCACACCAAACCTTCCGTCAGGAATTTTGGTGTGACCTTTGACCCAGCTCTCACACTGGATTCTCATGTCATTTATCTTGTTCCCTCTTCCTTCTTCCATCTCAGGAACATTGCTAAGCTGAGTCCCATTCTGTCCCGCTCTGAACGTGAGACTGTTCTCCACACCTTCATCTCCTCACGCTTAGACTACTGCAACTCTCTTTTCACGTGTCTGAGCAGAACCTCCCTGAACCGTCTACAGGTGGTTCAGAATTTAATTCAATTCAATTCAAATTCAAAAACACTTTATTAATCCCAGAGGGAAATTGATTACTGTAGTAGCTCAGAATTATAATAATAATAATAAAGTCATCAAAGAGTTATTGTATATTACAATGGCTGTTGGCAGGAAGGATCTCCAGTAGCGGTCAGTGTTGCAGCGAAACTGAAGAAGACTGACTGAAAACACTCTTCCGTTGTCGGACAGTCTTGTGAAGAGAATGCTCAGGGTTGTCCATCATTTTCTTGATTCTCTGGAGAATCCTTCTTTACATTATCTCCTCCAGTGTTTCCACACTCATCCCCAGAACAGAACCAGCCTTTTTTATTAGGCTGTTGAGCCTTTTCAGGCCCTGCTTCTGATGCTACTACCCCAACAGACGACGGATGATGAGATTACACTCTCAACAACAGACTTGTAGAAGATCTACAGCATCTTGCTACAGACATTGAAGGACCTAAACGTCCTCAAGAAGTGCAGTCTGCTGTGTCCCTTCTTGTAAACGGCTTCGCTGTTCTTTCTCCAGTCCAGTCTGTTGTCCAGGTGAACTCCAAGGTATTTGTATTCCTCAACCACCTCCACTTCTCCCATGTTGGAAACAGTGTTTGACTCCACCCTGTTTCTTCAGAAGTCTGAAATCATCTCCTTTGTTTTGTTCACCTTCACGGTCAGATGATTGTTTCCACACCATGCCACAAAGCGCTCCACCAGCTCTCTATACTCAGCTTCCTGTCCATCTCTGATACACCCGACAACTGCAGAGTCATCTGAATATTTCTGTAGATGACAGGTCTCTGACTTGTACTGGAAGTCTGAGGTGTACAGGGTGAAAAGGAATGGTGAGAGTACAGTCCCCTGTGGTGCTCCAGTGTTAACTGATCGCCTGGTTTGATGTGCAGTTCTTCAGCCTCACAAACTGTGGTCTGTTTGTCAGGTAGTCTTTAATCCAGGCGATAGTTGAGGCCCCCACTTGTGTCTTCTGGAGTTTCTGGCAAAGTACATCAGGCTGGATTGCGTTAAATGCACTGGAGAAATCAAAGAACATGACCCTCACAGTGCTGCCTGCTTTGTCCAGATGACAGAGGATTGGTTGAAGCAGCTGGATGATGGCATCTTCAACTCCAACTCCATGGCGATAAGCAAACTGCAGCAGGTCCTGATATGTTCTAGTTTGCTTATTCAGGTGGACCAACAGGAGTCTCTCCAGGACCTTCATCGTGTGGGATGTCAGGGCAACCGGTCTGTAGTCGTCAGTGACTGATGGGCGAGTTTTCTTTGGAACTGGAACAAGGCAGGATGTCTTCCACAGGACTGGAACCTTCTCCTGGGCCAGGCTGAGGTTGAAGAGGTGCTGCAGAATCCCACAGAGCTGCTCTGCACAGGCCTTCAGTACCCTGGGGCTGACACCATCTGGACCTGCAGCCTTGTTCCTGTTCAGTCTCTCCAGCTGCCTCTTCACCTGACTTCTAGAGACAGATCAGTGGGAGGGGGAGGTAAATGGGGCAGCAGCATCTCCTGACTTGGTTGAAGACAGATTTCTAGAACCAGAAGAGTCCATGACTGTGTTAGAGGACAAAAGAGCTGGCGTGTCACAGGAAAATGTTGGATCAGAGGAGGATGGGATGTCTGATTGGCTGGGGACAGGCAAGGATAATGCTGGGTTTGTTCCTGAACTGAACCTATTGAAGAACTTGTGCAGTTCATTGGCTGTGTCCAGGCTGCCATCTGTGCAATCCTTCCTCTGCTTGAAGCCTGTGATCTTCTTCGTCCCTGACCAGACATCGCTGATATTGTTCCTCTGTAGTTTGTTCTCCAGCTTATTCCTGTATGCCTCCTTGCTGTCTCTTATCTTGACCTTCAGTTGCTTCTGTATACTCCTCAATAATTCCCTGTCTCCCTTCTTGAAGGCTCCTTTTTCTCATTTAGCAAATTCTTCAGTTCACTGGTGATCCAGGGTTTATTAGCGAAGTGGGTATGATGTTGTCCACACAGAAGTTTATATAGTCAGTGACACATCCAGTCATGGCATTGATGTCCTCTTCATATCCTTGGCAGAGAGTCATCCAATCTGTGGTCTCAAAACAACTCTGCAGGGCTTCTTCAGCGTCCTGTGACCATTTTCTCACAGTTCTTCTCGTCAAAGGTTGCCTCTGAGCAAGTGGTTTGTATTCTGAGCAGAGAAAAACAAGATTGTGATCTGATTGTCCCAGAGGAGGTCTTGTTTTGGACAAGTGTGCATTCTTTACATTTGCATAACACAAATCCAATGTCTTGTTTCCTCTGGTGGAGCAGCTGACAAACTGTTGAAATGTTGGAAGTGTAGCAAGAGTGCGAGGCATGATTAAAATCACCAGATATAGCCACAAATGCATTGGGGTGCTGGGTTTGTAGCTTAGCGACAACGAAACTGATGGCATCACATGCACTTTCAGCAATGGCTGAAGGTGGAATATAAATGGTTGCCAAGACAACACTGGTGAACTCTTTTGGCAAATAATATGGCCTGTGCTCTTCTTCTGACCAAGTCCTCCAAACACACCCACATCACCACACTTTTCCTCCAGCTTCACTGGCTGCCAGTCAACTTCAGGGTTCATTTCAAGATCCTGGTTCTGGTCTATAGGGCCTTACATGGACAAGCACCATCTTACATTGGTAATCTTAGTCCTTACACCCCCTGAGGTCCAGTGATCAAAGCCTACTGGTTGTGCAGTGCACCAGGCTAAAGACCAAAGGTGACCTATCATTTGCTGCTGTGGCCCCTTGACTCTGGAACTCTCTCCCCCTGAGCCGGAGATCAGTGGACTCATTTAAAAAGCAGCTGAAAACTCACCTGTTCAAGCTGGCTTTTGTATGACCTTCTTCACCATTCTCTCTTTATTCTGCTCTCCTCACCTATTCCACCTTCCTCAGGATCCACTAATTTCCCTCTTTCCTATTCACTCTCTCTCTTTCTTAACATTTTCTTAATCACAATTGTCTATTTTGTGCTCATTTTAAATATATTTTAACCATTTTCTAAATTATTTTTTATATTTTTACATTTTTTGTTTTTGTGAAGCGCCTCGTGATTTTTATCTTGAGAGGCGCTATAGAAATGATACTTTTTTCTTCTTCTTCTAAAGTGTAAAACTGCTGGGTTTATGAAAGTCATACATATTTATTTATTGTTGTTTCACAGGTAAATTCCAATGAAACCACCCATCCCATCACCTGTGGGGGTGCTGGTGAGTCTTTGTAGCTTGGGAGGACCTTTAGTGTGACGCTCCCGCTGCAGTCCCTTAACAGCTCCTGGAGTTCACGGGGGTTGCTCCCAACTTCATGACCGTTGACCTCAAGGATGATGTCCCCTGTGTGCAGCATGCCCTGCTTGTCGATGGGTCTACCGTGCAGGATCCGCGCGATCACCATCTCCCCCTGAACCACACGGAACGTCACTCCCTGAAAGAGAGTATGAGTTGGTCGGCACTCCACATCCGCAGATAACAAATTAACAAAAAGCAAACTAATTCAGTTATATTGTGATTTGAAATGTGTCGTTATGAAAAAGCTCGAGTTGCTGCTTCCTTCCAGATGGCAAAAGTAGCAAAAGGTAAAAGAGGTTACTGCCAAAAGAGGCATTTCCTCTGGAGACCTGTAGGCCTGACAAACTCACCAGAGGCTCCCCGGCTCTCTTCTGGATGCCAATCATCCGGACAGCATCAGCTGGCATGAGTGAACTTGTCAAAATGGAGTTGCAGCTTTCAGCAGTGTGGGATGGCTTGTAGGCCTTTGCAGCCACTTCGTCATGAGCCTCTATTAAAGACTGGAAGAGAGCGAGAGATAGAAGTCAAGCTGCAGAGCCTGCCTTGTTAAGATCAGCTGATCTAACCCCCCACCTATGCACCCTCGTACCCTGCACACACACACACACACACACACACACACACACACACACACACACACACACACACACACACACCCACCACAGAGGGAATGAGGGAATATAAAGCTCTGATATTCACTTTCAGAAAATTGAATAAAAGCTCATCCCTATACTGATCTTTAGTCTAAAGCCGGGCGTACACTGTGCAAATTTTTCACGTTTTTGAGCCGATTTTCCAGTCGTGCGAGAATCCACGAGATCGGGGCGAGTTTTGCGCCGAGCGTCGTGTAGTGTACAGGGGGTTACGAGAGGCGATTAACACCAGTGACCAGCTGCCGATCAGCAATCGTGAGGTCGCACGGACTTCTGGCGTGTTTAATATTTTGTTCGTCCCTCGTGAGGGTATCGCACTGTTGAAGCGGCGCTGCGAGCGGCTGCGACCCAAAAAGTATCAGAACCGCTCACGGCACATGCTCAATCATGCATCAACACCGCTCGCCCGCTATTTCCCTAATAACACACGTTGTTCGTTTTTATTCCTACACGTTTTTTTTACTCACAAATATTGTCAAGAAAGCGTGTTTGTTGTGTTCATGTCAAATTACACTGATCACAAAACACAGATTTACTTTCTTTATTTCGTTTTCCTCATCCAACCCCCATAAATCCCTGTGTGTCCTCCTGCAGCACTCCCGAAGGACAACAGGCAAGACAAGACAAAAAAGTCTGACGTGTTGAGTAAAAACTACTATTTTTAGCATATTTTTTAGGGCCGACATGTTGCTACCAGACGTACAGTGTGAGCGCATGACTCGTGAGATCTGCCCTGCGAGGAAGTCGTACAGTTTGAGCTGAAGCTGAGAGCTACGAGTGAAAAAGTCGCACAGTGTATGCCCGGCTTAACCCCACTGCCCTCCCCGTCTATTTAACATTATAACATCATCAGAAAGGGATTACAGGCTTAAATACCTGAAAATGAGGCTCCTGGAGGATTCTGGCCAGCTCAGCCGCAGCAAGATTTTTTCCTGGCAGCATGTTGAGAGAATCTAAGATCTCTGCGACCAGTTGAACATTATCATCTCGCACAGCTTCTAGCTTAATGTCCTCAAGACATTCATGAGCCTAAATCCACATAAGAACAATGACAGAAGAGTGTAAAGGGATGGGCCAAGTGGAAAAACTATATTTCTAAGCTTTTGGAGCATGCATAAACAGGGACACTCATTTTAAAATAATGATTACTTATTAGGGAACCAGATATCGAACTACTATTAATATTGGCCGATTTCGGCATTAAAATGTAACATAGGAAAGTATCTGTATCGTCAATCAATCAATCAATCAAAGCTTTATTTATAAAGCGCCTTCCGCAACCCTGTCAGGAAGCCCAAGGCGCTGAACATGGTACAGTAGAAGTACAAATATAGTGAATAAATCAAAAATAAAAGCAATTCAGAAATAAAAGCAATTCAAATTACAAAATACAAATTACAAAAAAAAAAGGTGAAACATTCTAGTACAGGACAGATGGGTAAAACAAGGCATAGAGTGAACCAATGAAAACTGTGAAAGAAATTCAACGTAAAAGAGGGCCGAATCAAACATGTTCAGGAAACGCCAAGCGGAGAAGGTGTGTTTTTAGGCGACTCTTAAAGACTGGCAGAGAGGGGGACAGCCTAACTGAGGGTGGCAACTGGTTCCAGAGAGACGGCGCTAGGACTGAGAAAGCCCGGTCCCCGCGAGTACGACACCTCGAACGAGAGACAGCGAGCAGGCCTTGTTCAGAGGAGCGCAGAGCGCGTGATGGGGAATGTTTGTTCAGGAGTGTGGCTAGATAGGGGGGAGCACCACCCTGGAAGAAATTGTAAACAAAGACGAGGATTTTGAATTGTGCACAATAGCAAACAGGAAGTCCTAAAATGTTTTAGTTTTCATGAGGGGGACACAGTATGTATCAGTCGTGGTTTACAGTGGGGCAAAAAAGTATTTAGTCGGCCACCGATTGTGCAAGTTCTCCCACTTAAAATGATGACAGAGGTCAGTAATTTTCATCATAGGTACACTTCAACTGTGAGAGACAGAATGTGAAAAAAAAATCCATGAATTCACATGGCAGGATTTTTAAAGAATTTATTTGTAAATCAGGGTGGAAAATTTTCAACTTGAGTAAAGAACACTTTAACTACACCGACTTGAAACTAAATAAGTAAAATTCACATCCCACTCTGGATCAATAAAACTCTATATTTAGGCCCGAGCAGCGAAGGGCTATTGTAATTGCTCTGTTTATTATTAGGCCAGAGCAGCGAAGCTATAATTTCATAAATGAAAGAATTACAGTTACAAAATTTTCTATGGCCATTCCTCATCGATCCCCAAAGAAAAATGAATGGTCGATTGATGATTTCACACAAGTCCCGCCCCCTCAGGACAAAAAAGATCAAGTTTAACTGTGAAATTCTCCAAAATTCGCCATTTCATATAATCACCACAAACTTGTAGCAGGTAAATGAAGACAAGTTGGGGTTGCTTGGCGACACTTTATGGGAACGTTCAAAAATCAGCGGGGATGTGATGGCGTGGCTAAGTCAGGCATAACGTCATGGCCATTTGTTTGCCTCCCATTTTGTCAATTCTGTTATCGCCATGAAATTTCTAGTGAGTGATCCTAGTACAATCCTCAATAAAACCTGACATCAAAAGTTGGTAGACGTGGCTAATGTTTAGAAATAGCGCTCCCTAGCACCCTTAAAGTGCCAGCCCTAAGCCAATGCTTTGACTAAGGATTGTGAAATTTTGTACACTTATGTAGTGTCTCAGGACCTACAAAAAAACTCTCCTGAAGCCATGCTCCATATCGCACAGGAAGTCGGCCATTTTGGTCCAAGTACACCATTTTGTGTTTTTTTTTTTCACACTTTAAAGGTACGCCAATCCCCAAGTGCCCTTTGCCCCATCGCCTTTAAACTTCTGCTGAATAATCTTAAGACATAGCGGGGAAAACTGAACCTACGGATTTTCCAAAAGTCTAACGGTGTGGGCGTGGCTAGGCCTCAAACATTGACTTGTCACCACACATGCTTTACTCTCAAAGCTCACAAATTGACTCCTTTAACTTAATCAACATGAATCTCTGGCAAATAGCAGTAGACATGTTGGGGTCACTTGGTGTCCATTACTGGCAGGTTTCTAAAAAGGGCGAGGCTATGGGGGGCATGGCCAATTTTGACATCACGCCATGGAATTACATTTGCCTCTCATTTCCTCAATTCTGATGTTATCAGTACAACAATTCAGGTGATTGATACAAATCCAAACCTCAATAGATATTAACCAAAAAATCTGGTGGGCATGGCTTAGTTTTGCACTAGCGCCCCCTAGGTCCATTAAAAATGTCAGACCCAAGCCATGCTTTGACAGAGGATTATGAAATTTTGTAAACTTATGTAATGTCTTAGGACCTACAAAAAACTGTCTTGGAGCCATTCTCCCTAACCCACAGGAAGTTGGCCATTTTGGTCCAAGTACGCCATTTTGTCATTTTTGCACATGTTAAAGGTCAACTCCACAGCGCCCTTTGACCTATCGCCTATATATTTCTGCTAAAAACTCTTAAGATATAGCGGGAGAAACTGAACCTACGGATTTTCCAAAAGTTTAACAGTGTGGGCGTGGCTAACCCCTTCTTTCCACCGGAGCCGTCAGCAGCACGTTACTGCAGCAGCACGTCTTGCTCGCGTAAGCTGCTGCTTGGCCCTTCCCACTAGACGCGAAGCAGCAGGGGAGCAGCTGTCACCGACAGAGCACGAAGTCACACGAGTGACTTTGTCAGTAAACACAACAACAAGCAGGAGAAAACTGCAAAATGGCTCCAAAAGGTTTGTGTTTTATGTTCTGTCCGTTTTATAATCGCCAATACGGACCTGAAAAACAAAGGAGACCGCTAGCTAGGTGATAACTTCTCACGGGGCCACAAAGTTAGTAACTTTTTTAAAGTAAAGCAACCAGAAGGCAGTACGTTTCTTTATTCTGAAAATCTCGGGAGCTTCGCTCCGTTTCCGCGTCCGATTTCCTGTCTTTCCTTCCCCAAAAATGTCGAACTTGACCCGTTTCAGAGGCATCGCGCGTAGAAAATAGAACCGGCGTGTAAGGGCCGCGACATGCTGCTCCTGAGACGCGGCCGACTCGCGCTGCTGACGGCTCCGGTGGAAAAAGTTCTGTTGACCACAGCGGTTCCTATCAGCAGCTATGACGTGCTGCTGCAGTAACGTGCTGCTGACGGCTCCGGTGGAAAGAAGGGGTTAGGCTGAAAACATTGACCTGTCACCACACCATTATTTACTTTCAGAGCTCCCTATTGGACTTCTAATCAACAGCAATCTCTGCCAATTAGCAATACAAGAGTTGGGGTCGCTTGGGGTTTAGTACTGGCAGGTTTCAAAAAGGGCGGGGCTCTGGGAGCATGGCGAAATTTGCCATCACGCCATGGAAATAGGTTTGCCTCTCATTTCGACAGTTATGATATTGCCACAAAACTTCTGGTGAGTCATCCTAGTCTGAACCCCAATAGAAATTGACATCATAAGTTGATGGGTGTGGCATATTTTCTGAAATAGCGCCCTCTAGGACCAGTTTCACATTCGCTTTGGTCTGCTCATTTTTCTTTTTTTGCAGTATTAGACGTTTTTACACTAGGTTAACTACAGCATTTCACACTGTGGTTAATAGTCAAACCAGTTAATCCTTGCAACCCTAATGCTAATAGCATTTAATTTCTACTGGTATGGCTACTGGGATGACTATAATCCAATCTAAAATATATTCAATGATAAAACTGTTTGTAAATTATATACTACAATGGACTGCCACAGAATGCAGTGGTATGAAGCAGGTACCTTCTATGGCTCTGCCCCATATCTCCTCTGGCTGCAGACATCTAAAAATAAATGGGATGGTGTGGATTTTTATTCCAATTGTAGAATTTAGTCATTCTTAGTTTCATGACCAAAGTGTTTGTTTTTTTCGGAATCCCACTTGATCGTGAGCGTGCTACCCACTAGCGTTAGCATTAGCCAATCTGCCCTTATTGTCACTTTTGATCCTAAACTTTGGACCGTTTCTCCCTTTCACAATGGTTTGTGTCTTTGCTCATCATCTTTTTTCTTATTTAACTAACTCTTTTTCAAAAGAGTTGTGTCTTTGCTGTTTTTCTTTAATTTTCCACCCTATATTACCACATTGTGGGCCAGACTGTGGTGTGGTGCGCACATTTAACAAAGCCTCAAATCAGTAAAATATGATTCAAGGAATTAAACTAATTGAACCGTTTGAGGATTTGTTTCAAGCCTAAAAAGCAGCAGAGCCCATGAATGTATTTGCTCTTTTAAATGTAAAATAAGGCTCCTTATGGAATACAAATACATTTTGTAATTTTTTTTGCCATATTGTGCAACTAAAATGAAGAAGTGTAACAGATTTTAGAGAAATGAAAGATGAGGTCAGAGTAAACTGGTTCTGATTTAGTGACCTAGGAATACACAGGAGTAATATATGTATGTGTGTGTGCTTCACCTGGGCGAGGGAGCGGACAATGGGGCTCTCCATGATGCCTCTGAGGAAGATGAGGTCAATATCTTTAGCTCCTGTGCTTGAAGGCAGGTCTTTAAGGTTGTCCAGCACCTGCTGCATGGCTGTGAAAGAAGTAACACATCTCAGGCCTTTCTCAGAGATTGGTTATTTTCTGCATTATAAAAATTTTTGTTTACAACCAAACAAACATCTTGAGAAATGTTACAAGTGGACAATGACTGAAATAAAGAGCATGTTCTTGAACCAAAAAACGTGCAGGTTCATCAGTTCTATATTAGCTATAATATGCAGTGGCTCACTTCATCGGCTACTGCCCCCCAGGCCCAACCCAACCCCAGACAAACAGAAGAAAATGGACGGATGGGTAAGAAATGGAATAAATAATTTATTCTTAAATAGGTTCAGGGAAGTTAATTAAATCACACAAAATCAATTCCTAGTTCTGTTACTAAACTGATGAGACACAGCAAATGATATTTCATAGATTTGGATATTCCTAGAGGCTTGGTAACAGTTTTTAGCCTGGGGTCTTAAGACACGCAAAAAAACTGATCCATCCAACGCCAAATAACCGCGCTTTACAACACTGCATGTAACCTCGCACCATCTGTGAATGATATAGAATATAATAGCAACACCACAGGGAGTCCCACTGTTGTGGGCTCTAACTTTTAACACACAGAGATATAAAACAATTATTGAGGAGAAAAACAGAAAAATATTTTATTTTTAATTTGTTATAACACAACACAAAATCTGTTACGTTTTAGCAGTTGCGTTGTTTTGTATTGCTTCACAACAGTACACAAAAACTTCACAGTGGCCAAAAGCATTTTTGGTTTGCTTCCCGACAACACAAAGCATGCTTCACATCACAGTTTGTTAATTTAGCAGCACTAAAATCATTTTGGTTTGGTATGACTGGAAAAGAAAATAAGTATTTTTTGTAACACAAAACAGGATTAAACAGAACTCCCTCGGCTATTTGGCTCACTCGCGAGAAGATGGTCTCTAAGTCTTTCCCTTTGCTTTGCATGGCCTTCTCCATCTCCCCTCTATTGATCACAGGCGAGAACGCCATTTGTTTTCTGGGTCTTTTCGCTCTTAAGGTTCAACAGAATTCAGTTCCGACATTAGCGGCTGTGTCAAAAGAGGAAAAGCTAAGGCTGGTCCCAGTTTCTCCTTATGTAATTCGACAGCTGTAAAGCAGAAGGTGTGTTCCAAGAATAGGGGGATCACATTCCTCAGCCTCCCTCCCTCCAGGGTACTGGAGTAGACCTTTGGGTCCAGTCGATAGTTGAATTCCGGAATGAGGAGGAGCAATGTGGTTTTCGTCCTGGCCGTGTAACTGTGGACAAGCTCTTTACACTTCTTGCTAGAGTGATGAGGGGGGTCATGGGATTTTGCCCAACCAATCCACATGTGTTTTGTGGATTTGGAAATGGTCTATCAAATCAAATCAAATCAACTTTATTTATATAGCACTTTTCATACAAAAAATGCAACTCAAAGTGCTTTACAGATTAAAATGGCCCCATAGATCCCACATTCCCATCCCAGCCCCCCTCCCCAAGTATAAAACAATTAAAAATTACAGTTCCCCTCCCGCACCCAACTTCCAAAGTGGACATACAATCACCCGCACACACACACACACACACACACGCACACACACACACACACACTCGTGAACACCAGAGGAAACAATAGGCTGAGTTCAGATGGGTCAGGTAATGAACGACACATCATCAGCGGAGCCATCTGCCTTGGCAGCAACAGATCCACGGCAGCAGCCAAGACACCGGCCCATGACGCCCAGAGGCGTAGGGCAGAAACCCCCACCAGTGCCCGGGCACTACCTGGGGAGCGCCCCGGCCGCCGCCGCCCCTGACCACCGGCCCCAAGGCAGAGGGCTCCGCAGAGGAAACACTGGAGGATTTAAGATATATAACATATAAAATAATAAAAGCTAATAATGATAAAAAGTAACTGATAAAAAGTGATTATAAAGATAGTAAAAGAAAACATAATCATATAAAAACACTAAGATGTATATAAAATGATAAAAATAATAAGAGAGATAAATATGTATTTATAGATAAATAGTAATCAGTTAAAAGCTAAGCTAAAAAGGTGGGTCTTGAGCCTATTCTTAAAAGCCTGGATGTTCCCTTCGGACCTGAGGTCCTCCGGCAGCCCGTTCCAAAGGCGAGGGCCGTAGTACTTGAAGGACGCCTCGCCGTGGGTGTGAGTCTTAACTTTAGGGATAACTAGGAGACGGCTGCCAGAGGAGCGCAGAGACCGCGAGGGTTTATACAGTAAAAGCAGTTCTGAAAGATAAGAAGGCCCAAGACCATTAAGACACTTAAAAACCATTAAAAGAACCTTAAAATCAATCCTGAAACATACGGGGAGCCAGTGCAGTGATTTTAAAACCGGAGTGATGTGCTCCCGCTTCCTGGTCTTCATCAGGACACGTGCTGCTGAGTTTTGTAAGAGTTGTAAACCTGAGATGCTCTTTTTGGGAAGACCAGAAAGCAGGGCATTGCAGTAATCAATTCTACTGGTTACAAAAGCATGCACTAGCGTCTCCGTATTGGCCCGAGAGAGAATGGGGCGGACTCTGGCGATATTCTTAAGATGGTAAAAACCTATTTTTGTGATGTTTTTAATATGGGGGATAAAAGTCAGCTCAGAGTCGAAAATAACACCCAGATTCTTCACTTGTAGTGATGGATAAAAAGACATTGATTGTAGTTTAGGTAAAAGTTTCTCTCTCTGGGCCTCAGGACCGATGACTAAAACTTCAGTTTTGCCTTGGTTGAGCTGGAGAAAGTTTTCAGTCATCCATGATTTAATATCTAAAATGCAATTAAAAAGTGTTTCCATTGGCTGAGAGTCATCAGGAGACACGGAGATGTACAACTGTGTATCATCAGCGTAACTGTGGAAATTCACCCCATGTCTCCTGATGACGCTGCCCAGAGGGAGCATATAGAGGTTAAAAAGTACTGGGCCTAGAATTGATCCCTGAGGCACCCCGCATGTGATGCTGTGGACCCCAGAGGAACAGGTATCCAGACTCACCATAAAAGTCCTGTCTGTGAGGTAGGAAGTAAACCAACTGTGAACAGCACCAGAGAGGCCGATCTGTTTTAAACGGGTTAAAAGAATAGTGTGGTCTACTGTATCAAAGGCAGCACTTAGATCCAGCAGAACCAACACTGTTGCCCTCCGAGCATCATAATTTGTTCTAAAATCATTTAAAATCTTCAGAAGGGCTGTCTCAGTGCTGTGGTTCACCCTAAAACCAGACTGAAATTTCTCTAGGACATGTTGGTGGTTGATAAAATCATTAAGTTGTATTAAAACAAGCTTCTCTAAAATTTTGCTTAAAAATGGTAAGTTGGATACCGGTCGGAAATTGTTAAAGTCATTAAAATCTAAATTGCTCTTCTTCAACAGGGGTCTGACCACCGCCCGTTTAAAAGCAGCAGGAAAGACCCCCGTCTGAAGGGAACAGTTCATCAAAGTTAAAATCTCATCTCTAAATGAGTCATAAAATTGTTTAAAAAACCTTGTGGGGATAGGGTCCAGAACACATGTGGTAGGCCTCACTGAGGAGAAAACTTTATCAATAGTCTCAACTTCAACCAAGACAAAACTGTCCAGTGTTTCCTCAGGTAGACACACACTCTCAGATTGATCGGGAGCAGCATGACATTGGGTGGAAAAAATGTTACGTCTGATGGTGTCTACCTTCCCTCTGAAGTGGGCTGCAAACTTCTCACAGAGAGAGTCCGAGGGGGTTTTCTGGAGAGAACTAAATTCACGACCCAAAATATTTGTGACTGTAGAAAACAGAATTTTGGGATTATTTTTGTGTTCCGAGATGATTTTAGAAAAGTAATTATTTCTGGAATTTCTAACAGCTTTGTTGTATGATTTTAATAATTCCTTGTATATTTGTTTATTAATTGTGTTCTCATATTTCCTCCATTTTCTCTCCGCCGCCCTGCAAGATCTTTTCAACATTTTCAAGTTTTCATTGCTCCAAGGGGAAGCCGGTTTTGGCTGTAGCTTTTTAATTTTAGGTGGAGCGAGCAGATCCAGAGTAGATTTAAGTCTGCTGTTAAAATCATTGAAGATAAAATCACAGGGGGCATTTAAATTAATAGGAGGGATCTTTTTAAAAGTTTCCAGAAAACCAGCAGCCACTTCAGGGGTTAGATGGCGTGTCTATGACCGTGTCCCCAGGGGCAGCCTATGAGGGGCGCTCCAGAAGTATGGAGTGGATGGTCTTTGTTAAGGACTATTCAGTCCCTATACAAGAGGAGCCTGAGTTTTATCCGTATAGCCGGACCTGTTCCCGGTGAGGGTTGGACTCTGCCAGGGCTGCCCTTTGTCACTAGTCCTGTTTATAATCTTTATGGAAAGGATTTCCAGACGCAGCCGCAGTGTGGAGGGTGTCGAGTTTGGTGGCAGGAGAATCTCGTCTCTGCTTTTTGTGGATGATGTGGTCCTCCTAGCTTCAGCAAGTTCGGACTTTAAGCTCTTGCTGTGGAGGTTTGTGAAGTGGCTGGGATGAAGATCAGAACCTCCAAATCTGAGGCCATGGTTCTCGAGTGAACACGACTGAGGGAAAGAGGGAGTGGGAGATCGGCAGGTGGATTGGGGCACACCACCTAGACATTTGGGGGAGGAGAGGATTGCTTGAGGTCAAAGATTTGAGTTGCAATGGCCCGCAGCTGTGTTGCTGAGCACCTGACCTGACAGAAAACAACACTCATTTATCAAGTTTAGTAAAATCATTGAGAAATGCTTATTCAGGTGGAATTCAGGTGGAGAGCAATTAACTTGGGAGCAATTGAAAAAAGTCACTTAAATTTTGGTAAGATTCCTAATAAAAAGTATCCAATCTATTGAAATGTGATTAAAACATAATGTGTCTCATTAGTCTAGCTCAGTAACATAATTGAGAAAAGGTTTTGGGTATTAAAATCAATTAAAGGCAGTCTGCAACATTTAAATGTAGAATAACTTTAAAAATGTTTGATTTTGACCATCTGACCCAATTTTATCAAAAAAAGTAAATAATCTT